ATAATAATAATAATAATAATAATAATAATAATAATAATAATAATGATAAACCAAGTAGGACTTTTTCTAACTGCAAAGGGCAATCAGTAGTAACTGTGGGTAACCTACAGCCAATAGACCACACACTGTTCCTGCACTCTCGTGCCTTCATGCCTACCCCAAAAAAGTCAACACAGCAAGGCCTAATGCTCATTAGGCCTGATTAGGTCTGATTAAGCCAGCACCCCCAAAGAATGTCTGTCTACTAGTTCAGGTTTGAGACTAACTGTGCTTCACTGAAATCAGCACCCTGGGTCAACAATAAACTGATTATCAGTAGCGAGACTTCCATGGACTCAGCTGAGCCCCCAGCAGAATGAGATACTGGCTGCATGATGAGAAAATGTTGGAGTAGAGGAGGAAGCCCACAGGGCATCCTGAAGCTTCTGGAAGTTAGGTCTATTGGCTATCAGTTACCTAGTTATTACTGATTGCCTATTGCAGCTATAAAAAGGGCTACTCCTTGTTTTGTTTTAAATGAATTTATTAACTTATTTTATATCTCTATTCATTTTTGGACAGTATTTGAGTCTCCTTAGTTCATCTACCACTACGGCACCCACTATCCATCACCACAGTCCTTCGTGCTCTGCTGCTAGGGCCAGACCTGTGAGTAGGGTCCTGGGTTGGGCTAGTGAATGAACAGCAATGCAAGTCAGCAACAGCCATGCCTATTATAGTAATTTCTACAGAGTACCTGCCTCATTCTTGAATTTGTGGTATCGTTTCATGATAGACAAAAAGTATACACATGGGCAAGTGTCTGAAAAATATTGTTCCAATAAAAGTATATAACTTACAGGTTTACAAGACTAAGTTATAAAAGGCCTCTCAATAATCAGACAAAGTTGGATTTTTTAAGGGCTTCTTGATCTAAGTCAGTTTTCTCACTCTTACTTCCATTCTTACTTCTTAGTCTTCCCTAAATTTATTTTATATTCTAACTGACATGATGTAGTATTACCCCGTGTACATTTTTTACCAATAGCATCAAGTTGTAGTATTCTCACTGGCTTTTGCACATAAAATTATAAAGTTGGGGACATTAATTCTATATTGTATTTCCACTTACCCATGTTTGCCATATTTAGAGCTTCTACTTCTTCATTATCTGGAATATAATAAAATGATGTCAAATTTACATTTTGGAATCAAGTACAGATCTTATTATTGCAAGCTTTTACCAAACCTTAAAACACAAAACCCAAGAGCAAATATATGATGAAGATTAAACCATTTCATGAATAATTTAACAGCATCTGAATAATTGCCTTTTCCACAGAATTATCTCTTAGTGATATATTTGTTGTAGCATTCATTACATTGTACTTAATTGATATTATGATGAAATGAATCGAAAGTAAAAATAAACCCCTATGTTTGGAATTCTCCATGTTTGACTTAATGACAGCAAAAAGAGTTTTTTAAGTACATAAAACCACAATCATTATGGCTATTAATATATTTATATTATTTCATATTGCACATGTATACATATATACAAATACTAACTTGATAAAAACCCCATTAATGAATAAACAATCTTACCAGGCAATGCATATTTATCTTTGTCAAGCTTTAACTTTTTTGCTGCATGGGGGCTCTTGGTTTTTTGAGATTTTGGTGCCATGGTTCTGATTTAGGCTGCATAAAAAGATAATATCGTTAGTAACTTATACTTTACAATTTCAAATAATAAACATTACTTATTACACATGAGGGTACCCTTTGCCAAGTTTTCCTTGGGCTAAGTCAACATGTATCTTTATAAATTGTTGTTCTGTGACTCAAGGCCTCTTGCAACCTGAATCGTACTGGTGAGATCATAACCATTTTACAGTAGACCCACAAGAAGAGGATTCTGTCACAGGCCTTGTCATGGAAGCAGGAGAGAGAACACTGGTGCGCCCCACATCCTTAATTCCTCTTTACCATGTATGGTAACATGTTCTGTTTCCAGGAATTAGGAGGTGCTACTCTAGAATTAATCATGGGTAAATGGGTTGAAGTTTTACTCATATAAGCACATACCATATTCTTACTTCTCCCTTTGAAATGTCTCCTGACTTCTACATTCTTCTCTCTTTCAACATGTTCCTAATAATTTTGTGCCATGAAAGACTTTGGCATCCTAAGAAAGCCCATGTGTCAGACTACAACATGGAATTAAACTATATGGTAACTGATGGAAATTAAACTTCTAGTAATAAACATAACATACTATATGCAGATGTTTATTAATAAGGATATATACCAGAAACTGATATAGTGTTATAAATCAATGCTATACTTCAATATTTTTTTAAATCATGGGATTCTAGGGTATACAGTATATTGAAATGCAATTATCAAAAATATTTAAAAAATTATAATTAGTTCAAATCAAATTTTAAGATCTGAATATCTAACAAGATATTAACAAGATCTATAGTGGTTCTAATTAGTACCTTAATTTTGAAGAAATGAGTAGCATAAATAACTGTACATTATATCCTGTTATACAAAAAATATAATTTCTTTTGTGCCAGTCACAGGTCCTACTAATACTACTGTTTTGTTATACAGAGAATACAAGCATACACTTCAACCAGTGGTTTGTACAAATAAGTAAGTAGGGGGCCCTGGTGGTACAAAAGGTTAAACTACAGCACTATGAAGCTATCAACACAGCACGAGTTCAGTCTCTGGCTAGGGAGCTGACCCACATGGCTTGACAGACCTCTCCTGTCTCACCCACTGCTCCCCTTAGCAGTGTATTTCAGTTGATCTGCCTGTTCTGTTCCCTACTCTGTCTCTGGTGAATCCTCTCATCCCACTGCATTTTTGGCCTATGTCCCAGTTCTTGTATGTATAAGTAGATAAATGTTTTTTTAAAAAAATAAGTAAATAGGTTTTTTTTTTCCTATCCATGGATTCCCCACCCCCACTATCCAACTAGATCATGGACATTTAACTGGCATTTCTGTCTCTATTCCAACCACAGCAGTTATTCATGGGGTAGATTTTCAGAACTTCTTCTAAAGTGCAGATATTAGCAAGTCACTTCTCTGTATATTGAGAAATATAATGAGGGTTTCGATTATCTAGTGTGTAGAAATGGAGTCCATGTGTAGAAATGGAGTCCATTTACTATGCAAATTTCCTGTATACCTGTAATTCTGAAGGTCTGGGCAAGTCTGGGACTCTGTATTTTTTTAAACCTCCATGAAGCAGCTTTGGTGGTCTGTAGACAGGACTTTGCAAAACTGGATAGAGAGAGCCATCCTTGTAAGCACCACTTTTGTACACCTTTCACAGTCTTCCTGCCATACCACTCTTTCCGTTCTATTAGCCTTTCATGGGCTACTTATTCCTTCTCCAAACAGTTGGGTACCTTGGGTCGGCTAAGCCTAAACTGCCTGTTAGGCCATCGTTATTGTTAACTGCATTACTGTTTTGCATTCCTTTACAAGATCAGAACTGCCCTGCCAATCAGTCATAGCTAAACCTCATGAGATGCCTTTCAAATCAATCAAAAGCACTCAGGGAAGGCTATGCATCTTGAAGTATGAGAGGGGACACCCGGGGGGCTTATGATAGATGCATAAACTTACTCCCACCTCATACATCATGAGGTATGACCAGGAACGCCCCTGGGCTGAGGACTCCAGAAGCTGATCAGTGGAATGCCTTGTTGATAAGATTAGAACCATGACCCAGGGTTTGGGGTATGGTTTTGATTACAGCACTTTATCATAAAGCACATAAGAATTATCTGGTCAGCAAACTATGTCCCCCCAAAGCCCTAGGTGACAAAAACACCTTCTTTAGTTTCTTTTTTTTTAATTAAAAAAAGAGATTTATTTATGCATACAAGAACTGGGGGTACAGGCCAAAGGTGCAGGGGTGAGAGGATTCACTAGAGACAGAGTGGTGAGAAAAACAGGCAGACTGATGACATACACTGCTGAGAGGAGCAGTGCCTGAGACAGGAGAGGTCTACTGCGCCATGTGTGTCACCTCTCTGTCTGTGTATCAAACTCTTGCTGCAATGGTTGAGGATAGCTTCATAGGGCTGTGTGTTTAACCTGTTGTACCTCCAGGAAGGGCCCACATTCTTTAGCTTCACCCATCTTTTCCTCTTTGTCCTCCTGCCCCATGTAACTGGTGCTGTATGATTATTCTATCAATAAAAAGGCCAGGATCTTGCTTGCTCAGCAGCATGCTGCACTATGTATCGTGCTCTGTGACTTCCGTTTCTTTATCAGTGTGGTGTTGTCCCACACAACAGGTACCTTCATATTTCCCTCTTAGGGGAATCTCCTCCCTTCCTTCCCTCTTGCTCAGTGTCATTGTTTCTGCTTGCATTACACTTAGTTCTTTAAGGCTCAACTCCCTGTCTCCAAAAACTCCCAACTTCCTCACTTAGGTGAACACAATCTTCTACCTAATACTTTCTAGTGACGCCTTAGTGTATTTAATTATGCCTGACCTCTACAAAGGTAGAGAGTCTCAAATTCAGAACTGCCTGAAGATTGTTGTTGTGACTCACTCAATATTCAGCATACACTGTGGAAAGGAAAGAGAAATAATGAGCAGCAATTAGGCTCTGGAGATCACTACAGAATAAGGCAAGTTTCTTACATTCAGACAGTTAATGTTCTTCCTTCACCTTCACTCTTTATTCACTGCAGTCCTTTCTCAAGCTGCTGAAGACATCTCAGCCCACTTTACTTCAGCCCACATTAATCTTTGAATAACCAGCATCACACTGTCTTCATATCCCTTCATCCTTACACTCAGTTTATACTGAGTTCTTATTACGTGCAGGCAACGCGACAGACACAGACACTATGCCACCTCTGAAGAAGACATGGTTCTCTAAGTTCTTAGAGTGTCTTTAACTCATTGCGATTTCCGCCTTCCTGGTTAGGCTGCAAGTTATTTTAACGCAGGAGAGAAAGGTTTGTACTTTTTGTAATCATCATTGAATGTATCACATCGCTGGCACAGTGCGCCCTCGGAACGCTCTTGAAAGAGTAAAATAATGAAATTAATTGTTTTTTCAATCCTCCTTTCCCGTTTGGAGATTCCCTTACCTGTTACTGCTAAACCAAAGGGAGTAGAGACCTCTTAACGATATTTTAGAGGAAAGCTCCTTCGCAAGCGGGAGTTGGGAGTTAGATTCTCTAGGAAATACAAGTCCCAAGAGCTCAAACAGCAGCAATCTAGCAGGCTGTTGCTAAGACGCATCTGTTGCTAAGAGAAGAGAGGCGTCTGCACTGCTAAGATTGACAAAGGGCCATCCCTAACCGTGCCTTTCAGTGCCGGCTTATGATTGGTTGACATGACATGACGTCACGCAACATGAGCTAGAAAGAGGTCCTCAGGCTTCAGCTTAGGAAAGAACAACGTAGGCGTGTTTCGGGCAAGGGTCCAAACTGATTCCAGCTCTGACTCTGTCCAAACCCCACCCCCAGTGTAAAGGTACTGGAAGGATAGTTCATCTAGAATGAGTCTTTAGCAACAGGGGTTGAAATGAAGATCGCGGACATGAACCCCTTGGGGCAGCTACCCTGCTTATAGCAGGAGCAAGCCCTTCCAGGTGCTAGATTCAGGTGTTTAAGAGAAAAACTTTCTCTTCGATGGGATGTCCCAGAACTTCTAATGTGCTCATTTTCCAAACTGAAAGTGTGAATCTCAGCGGACAAAGATTAAATCTCAGAGTTAACTCCAAGGTTTATTTTATCTGTGATTATGGGTCCTGTGGGACTCATACAGTGGAGTTATTTTTATGAGCACTGTTTCCTTCTTTAAAAATAATTATGACAACTCAATTTGTAAGCTGGCAGAATTTAATAAAGCAGTGCAGCTGTCTGCTGTAATTATCTAAATTAATTTTACAACCAATTTAATACTTAATTGAAATGAGACTTATAGATTCATGACATATTAGGGACTTAATGATCCTAAATAAGAGTTAACATGATGCGTAGGAAGATCAAATAAATTATTTACAATTTCTGAAGAATTTGTGTCTGCACATTGCAAATAAATGTTACTAAAGAAATCATTTTTTAAAAACTAGAAGGAAGACTTATCCTTCAGACAACCTCATCTGACACTGACAGAATTGTTTTCCCTGGGCTCCTGGTGGCATCATGTTGAATCTCTGTTCTTTATCGATCCCTTTAAACACAGCAGTGACTCCCATTTCTATACTCTCAGTCTTATAATTCTCTTAAATTGCACACCTGGAAATTTCCAATTCTAGCTTAGTGTTTAATAGTTGCCAGATGAAAATAATAATGAATGAATAGCTGAACCATTGTCATGACAACTTAGCAGAGCTTTCAATCAACTCATTATCTTTACAAACTTTTTTCCTCCTTTTTTTCAAAAGATTTATTTATTTATGCATACAGAACAGGGATACAGGCCAGAGGTGCAGAGAGTGAGAGGCTTCACCAGAGACAGAGTGGGGAACAGAACAGGCAGATGGACCAAGTACCCTGCTGAGGGGAGCAGTGGGTGAGACAGGAGAGGTCTGCTGCACCATGTGGGTCACCACCAGGCCAGGGATCAAACTCACACTGAAGCAGCTGTGGCTAACATGCAGTGCTGCATCCTAACCTGTTGAGCCACCAGGGA